CAGGTGACAGGTGGCACTGGCAGGTGACAGGTGGCACAGGCAGGTGACTCACAGCGTCTGCATGTTGGCCTTGGTGAGCTCGAAGGCCCAGTCGAGGGTGGAAGGTTCCAGAGCGCAGACCCGGCGGCACTCGATGGACACGTTCAGACTGTGGGGGAACCCAGAGGGGACGTGGTGGGGACAGCAGGGACAGGCCCGGGGGACACCGGGGCAGCACCCCGGGGATGGCCCTGGGGACACGTCAGTGGCACTGGGAATGACCTTGGGGACACCGGGATTGGCCTCGGGGACACCGGGAATGGCCTCGGGGACACCTGGAATGGCCCCGGGGACACCTGGAATGGCCCCGGGGATACCGGGAATGGCCCCAGGGACACCTGGAATGGCCCCAGGGACACTGGGATTGGCCCCAGGGACACCGGGAATGGCCCCGGGGACACCTGGAATGGCCCCGGGGATACCGGGAATGGCCCCGGGGACACCTGGATTGGCCTCGGGGACACCGGGAATGGCTTCGGGGACACCGGGAATGGCCCCAGGGACACTGGGATTGGCCCCAGGGACACCGAGAATGGCCTCGGGGACATCGGGAATGGCCCCGGGGACACCGGGAATGGCCCCGGGGATACCGGGAATGGCCTCGGGGACACCTGGAATGACCCTGGGGACACCGGGAATGGCCCCGGGGACACCTGGAATGGCCTCAGGGACACCGGGAATGGCCTTGGGGACACCTGGAATGGCCCCGGGGACACCGGGAATGGCTTCGGGGACACCGGGAGCAGCTCCAGTGACCCCAGAACCGGTCCCAGGGTCCCCGAGGCAGGGCTGCCGCCACTCACCCGTTGCGGTCGTACTTCTTGAACACCGGGAAGGCTTCCAGGGGGTCTTGGAGCTGGAAGAGACCAGAGAGCAGCCGGGGGGCAGCGGGGGCCGCGGGCGGGGCAGGGGGTCGGGCCCCGCCGGGCCCAACTCACTTTGTTGGCGGCCTCGACCCGGGCGCAGACGGCGGCCATGGCGGCCCGTTCCTCCAGCCGCCGCTGCTTCTTCTCCTTGGCCCTGCTCGACTTCCTCTGTGCGGATAAACACACCAAAAAATGGGCACGAGTTACCCCCACAGCCCCAAAAACAAACACACCCCACACAGCCCCACAGACAAACACCCCACAGCCCCATGGCGGCCCGTTCCTCCAGCCGCCGCTGCTTCTTCTCCTTGGCCCTGCTCGACTTCCTCTGCGTGGATAAAAACACCAAAAAATGGGCACAGAGCACCCTGAGAGCCCCTCAGACAGACACACCCCAAAACGGGCTCAGAACACCCCAAAAACCCCACTGGTGGTGGTGCTGATGCTGCTGCTGCCCCCAGAGATGCGGCCCCACAGCAGCAAAGCCCCCCCGAGCTGGCCCTGCCAGCAATTACCGCGTTGATTTTATAGGATTATGAAAAATATCAATTATTGCATACGTACTCTCTCTGTATAAAACACGTGATTACGTTATATATTATTGTAGCATTATCATGCATTATATTGTGTATTGTAGTATTATCATATATAATATTATTCATAGTACATAACTGTTACTAAGCATGTTATTCTATATAATACCAACCCCCACGGGTGTAAAAAGCAACAGGTCACGGTTAAAGAAGGAGAGTTCTCACTAAAAGCCCAGCAGAAAAAGGGGGGATTTAGGGGTAAAAAGCAGAGTTTTGATGATTACACAAGTTGTTCTTATAGCTGGGGGGGGGTGTTGGGGGGGGGGGGCCCTCAGAGTCCCAAATCCCCAAGAAAGGTCCCAAATCCACTCAGAGCAGCCCTCGAAGAGCCTCCCCATCCTCTCAGACGGCCCCAAATCCCTAGAAATGACCCCCAAACTCTACACAGGAGCCCCCAGGACCCCTCAGAGGGTCCCGAACACCCTCGAAGGTCCCCAAATCCCCTCACGGTAACCCCCATCACCTCAGGGGAGCTCCCACATCCTCCGGGACAGCCCCAAACCCCCACCAAGGGTCCCGAATCCCCTCACAGAATCCCTCCCGTCACCTCAGGGGAGCTCCCACAGCCTCTGGGACAGCCCCAAACCCCCACCGAAGGTCCCGAATCCCCTCAGGGAATCCCCCCCATGCCCTCCCAACCCTCTCAGACGGCCCCAAACGCGCTCAGCGGCGCCTCGCAGGCCCCGCCCCCGCTGCCTTTCCCCTCAGGCCGGGCTCTCCTCCCCCCTCACGCCCCGGGCTCACCCCCATGGCGGCGGCCGCAGCTCCTCACGGCGCGGGGGGCGCGGGGGGTCTGAGGGGGCGCGCGCGGGGGGC